ATGTGTATATTTTATGTTTAATAAAATATAAAAGGGTAAACAAAAAACAAAACTCAACAAATAAAATTTTGTTCTTATTATTTTAAAAAAATGTAAGGATTATAGAATGTCAGGAGAAAAAAAAAAAAGGCGAGCTCGAGCACGAGCCGAGCTCGCCCAAAATCCAACCAGCCGAGCTTAAGCTCGGCTTGTTGGAAACGAGCCACGAGCCGAGCTCGTGCGGGTATGGGCCGGCTCGGCTCGGCTCGGCTCATTGACATCCCTAGGTCGCCACCACCCATTCTCCCCATCTTCACTATAACGTCATTCAAGGATTTAGGCATTTAGCCTCACAAAACGATGCCTGAAGATTGAATTTTTTTTCTTTTATTAGAGGGTTCATTCAATATTTTAATCCACATCCCAATCCTAAATGTTCTAATTCGAACCCAACTAAAATAAATCTTTTCTTAATATGTTTTAAATTCTTTAAGTAGGACTCGTTTGCACTATTTGAAAATTTTAAGACTTTAATTATTTCCTTTTGTTATATTATTTAATTCTTTTTATTTAAAGTGGAGGATAAATTTGCTATTTTATAATGCTTTAAAGAAAAATATAGACGACAATGATCTTTTGCACAAAAAAAATTCGATCTAAGAGTCCAAATACTAAAATTAAAACGATAGATATAATTTTCGCAATGAGGTCAAATTATAGGGACATTTTGCAACTATTACCAATATTTGACAAAAGAAATTAACGAAACAAGACGGAAACGACCATCGCCCCCAACAAAAAGTTGAAGTGAATGTGTAAATGTCAGGTTTGAAACGAAAAGACGATTTACACAATGAGGGCAAACAATCAAGACGTTTTGTGCTAAGATGATTTATGCATAACAGCAAATATATATTAAAAAGGAAAAAAACTATACAGCTACACCATCAGAAACTTGTGCTTCTCTGCAACGCCGCTTGGTTAGCGAAACTGGAACAACTGCATGTCCTTCTCACCGCCAAAGTATCTTCATCTCTACACGTCTAACTATTACTCACCGTTAATCTCTCACCAATCTCACTCACACCTATGTCATTGCACTCCTGCTTCACATCCAAACAAACCTCCTCAACTCTCTTGAACAGCTGAGTTGACCGACAGACAGGACACGTCACGTGCGAGGATAGCCACGTGTCAATACACCTGGGATGGAAACCGTGCCTACAGTATGGAATCAATTTAACAATTTCTCTTTCTTCAAACTCGCTCAAGCAAATGGGGCATTCTTCAATCATCATCTGGTGCTTCGCAGCCACACCGCAGGGCACAAGAGGGAGTGATTTCATGGCGGAGGGGTCGAGACCCTTGCGGTGGTTTGATTCCGGAGGTGGGTTTCTGCTGGGGCGGACATCGTCGGAGGAGGAGGAAGAAGACGACGACGAAGAAGGGTCCTCGGCGGTGGAGCGGCGGATGTAAGCGGAGAAGAAGCCCATAAAGAAGAGAGCGGCGAGGAGAACAAGAACAGTTAAGGCCGTGGAGGAGTCGAATGGTGTTGTGGCCGTGGCTCTGAAGGGTCTTTTTATGGTGGTTGAGGTGCCATTAATGGACTGGGAATTGGGATTTCTTGAGGCGGAGTTTGGTGAGTAAGTGCCGTCTACTGCATATGTGTCTACTTGGAGCAGCCTTCTATTCAGAATTGTACTATTCATTGTGGTTAAAAGCTTAATTTTTTTGCTATTCAACAAGCAAGTATCGGTGTATATGATGTTCGGCGATGTTCTGAATCCAATTCCAAAAGGCTGCACTAATCAGGAAGTGAAGATTTCATTGAATCTGTCACTGTGTGTATTACCTGAAAACAATTGAACGAACGAAAGAAATAAAGAAAAAAAAAAAGGAAAAGGCAAAAAGCGATAAGGATGGCGGCAAATTACTTGGAGTATTAGATTTTTGGTTGAAATAAAGGAACTGTGTGGGGCCTATAAGGAAAACTTTTTAAAATTTGTAATTGAATTAAAAAAAGGTGTGCATGGAATCTGGATATGGCGTGAAACTTGTCTGGATGCAAAGATTTGGACAAGAGAAGCAGCGGACTGTCACCTGGTCTTTGCTTTTCATAAAGGGACGCTTCTCTTAATTCTAATTATTTTTATGAGAGGAATTACTCAATATTTTTTCCTCGAGTTTGTTTTATATTATGGCTTTCCTCATTGATTACTGGTGAGAAATATTTTTAATTCATGATACACGTCGTAAGATGTTTTAATTGCTTGGTAACACCCTTAACTGATAGTGTGTGTTTCGGACTATGTACGCTGAAGTCTACATGTTGACATCAAAATTCGGCACACCTGTTTCAAAATCAGCAAATTGCCAAAGTTCATTTATGAGCTTAAACAGGTGTCAAGGTCCTTGATAATAAAACATTCTTATTGGATTAGAACACCGAAGAAGCATGTGCATATAAAAATGGGCTTTACTACAAGTATATCAGGGTGTACATAAGGATATTCATAATGGACACCCGACATCTCCTTATTGGATGGAGTACCAGTGGGGCCGGCACTCCATCCAATAGGGGGGTGCCGGGTGTTCATTATGGACACCCTTATGTACACCCCAATGTACAAGAAGAATAATCCTATAAAAATTAAGGCATCTCAAAGTAGTTTTCCAATATAAAAAGATGAAGGATCGCAAAGTAGTTTTCGTGGTTCTATACGTGGATGATATCCTACTTATATTAGAAAATGATGTAGGGGTATTATCAATAGTAATGATTGTCTCAATAGTTTCAAATGAAGGATTTTAGAGAAACTAGGTATGATAAATCCCCAAGTACAGGGGACGGTTTCACAAGGGACTTATGGCCCCTTGTGAGGGGCCTGAGCCCCACATGTATTTAAAAAAACAAATGTAGTTGGCTCCACCATGTTTCTTACTTGTAAAGTGTTTGTGGAAAATTTCCCTGTACTTCAAGCAAGGCTCAACTAGATATATTGAGGAAATTCAAATCTTACAAGACATGAAGAATGGGGGATAGCTTTGTACCAAGCTTCATACGTAGACAATTCTTACTAGATTTGTTACGTACGATTCCAAGAAAGGAAATTTACCTTTCAGGCGTGGAATCCACATCTCAAAGAAACGTAGTTATAGAACTCTTGATCGGTAGAGAAAAGAGACGGATACTATATCCATAATTCTTGGAATCATGCTACAACAACATAATGGTTGACATAATTCTTGACATAATGTTATATGGCATCTCATCATTGAATTGTTTTAAATAAGTCAACATGCCCATCAAATCATTTGTTGCCAATTGAGATTAGAATAATGCTACTTGTACATCACCCCTTACACAAGGGGTGACATAATATCCAAGTGGCACCTCCTCATTGGAGGGGGTGCTGAGGCCCCACATGTAGGCCGAGGCGCCCCTCCAATGAGGAGGCGCCACTTGGGCATTATGTCACCCCTTGTGTAAGGGGTGATGTACCCGTAGCAAAACCGTTGAGATTATGTCACTGTATCTATTACAATTTTTATGTCAAAGTAGCAAAATCCTAATTCTTGTTATTGTTATCATTAGGCAGCACTAAGCAATATGTTAGCTTTATTTTGCACGAAATGCATAGATCGTAAAGTTATTCAGATCTCATCCAATAGTGGAAAATACGGTATGCCCACCTTTGGAGTAGTATATTTTCACAAACATGACCAATCTCAATACCGTATTTTCCACTATTGGAGTAGTTATTCAGTTCAGACGGCTTGTGGCTCTGCCCGTAAAAAGCACCAGATGGGCCGGCTCTTGGCTTGGTGGGACCGAGCCAAGGCTCGGGCCTGCCCGTGTACCTTGTCGAGACATTTTGGCCCGTGAGCCTAAAAATTCTTTTAATTTTAACTGTATTTTTTTTATATGTTAATATTTAGTTATTATTTATGATACGTATAAATTGTAAAAATTTTAAATTCTTTAAAAAATTTTGAATTTGCCACGAACTTTAAAAAAAAAAAAAAATGGAGCAGGCTCGGCTCGCTACCAAAAGCTCGGGTGGAGCCTAAATTTTTTTGGCCGAGCAACTCAGCTCGGGCTAAAAAAAACTCGAACCATTTTTACTCGAGTCGAGCCCGAGCAAAAAATCTCAGTTTGCGGTTCATTGACACCCCATGACCAATGTTGCAGGCTTGTTGCTTAGTTTGCACGAGGGTTTGAAAAATTGAACTTTATTCCCAACTCCATGGAGCGGCCTATTATTTTGGATTAAGGCAACAACGAGGATAACTTGGAAAAAAAATCTGGTTTAGCGATTAATTGAAAATGATTATTATTATTAATATGAGATTGAATACGAAAATGTATAGTTTTAATAAAAAGGTTATTCTATCGTCAGCACTAAAGATGACATTTGTGAGCAAGTTTAGAGTGGAAGCACCACCTTTTTATTCAGCATGAGAGAATATGATGGGGACACTTGTGGATTCATTCATGGAGATTGTGATTCCAAAGTTACGGACTTTCGAATATGAGGTACGACAACGAATTTCAGCATTCTTCTTCAAGTAGCAAGTCCGATAATGACTAAGATCAAGAGAGACATTAACGTCAGACGTATGATGGCGAGTATGAGTAATGTTAATGTAGTGTAATTTTTGTTTACTCTTATATTTTTGTACCTTTAGCTGGAGTTAAGGTGGAGCACTTTGTATTATTTTTGTTAGTGTACAATTGGCCATATGTCGACCGGTGTCTTCCCTAATTTTTAACCTGTCTTGAGCCTGATTATGTAGTATAGAAGAAGTGGTCGATGTCAATTACATCAATAATTCCAGAGAATGATTTCTATCGTTAATTTCTCATCGGTGTCACATCTTTTATCAACAGTGAAATAACATTATGTATTGCATCCAGAAATCGAATCAAATAATAAACATAGTCCCACCATCACCATTCATTGAGTTACATCTATGGAGATTGCAACGGACCAAAAACAGAAACAAAAAGACAAACTGAACATGAACTTTGAAGGGTATATCTCTCCTCGTCATAGTCAATAATATATAAGATTGCGCCTACGTGTTCGATAGGATTGAGGTTGAAAATTTACATTAAAAAATCGAACAAAGGGCACAGTAATTAAGTTGTCGTGTGCCAATGAACTGATATAGATCTGTCTGTTAGTATAATGATGAAAAAAAAAAAAAGCTGTTCTCGGTGATTAAAAAGGAATCCCGAAGTAATTAAGAGAAGGAAAAAAAATGATGGATATTTTTGTCAAGAGAAATCCCACATCGTGAAATAAATATCCGACTACTTCTCTCGATAAGATTGACATTTTAAAATCAAACCGCAAATCTTAGTATAGCTATTACGTTGAATTTATGTGAGTATACTGAATGAAGGTTTCCAAGATCAAAGTTGAACAAATTATTTAAAATTAAAAGAAAGAAATTGACAGTATAATTATGATTTCTATAACACACAACAAAATATGCATATATTTTTCAGCTCCTGAATATTGGAACATATATAAATCCATTCCTAATTAATTAAAAAATAGATTATTATTCATTAGGAATAGCGAAAAATTCACAAATATGGCCCTAAATCTCCATTTGCATCTATAATCTATTTAAATATTAGCTATATATAACCTTAAAATATATGGCTTAAAAAAACTGATCATTGATTGATACATCTCCTCTTGGAAGTGGTACCTGGTGGTGAAACCCTAGCACCATCAGTGAATGATTGGAAGAACACCTCCATCTCCTCATCACCCCCAGTAACTTCAAAGAACTTCAGATTTTGAAATTTTCTCTTATGCAGAAACCCTGTTTTTTTCTTCCTTGGCGCCGATGGGCAGATCCTGGTTTTCGAAATCTTGTGTTCTTGAGACGTAGGTGTTCGGGACCCTTCATCGTTTTCTTCCGTCCAAGCCTTGGGATCATAATCTTCTTCTTTCACATCTTGTTTTGGACTTTGTTCTAATATTGTTTGATCTTTAGACATGAAGTTGAAGAAGGTTTGGCACAAGATGTAATGGATGTATGGATGAAAATCGGAGTAGATAGAAGGCGAACGTGCAGGGAGAATACCCCGAGAATGGGGGATAAATGAAGAATATTAGTTGACAATTTTGTGGAGAATTCTTTCTTATCTTGTGAAGAAAATCTCTTCTATCGTTTCTAACCCCTCTTGCTTTCCATTTTGCCTTTTTCGCATGCAACCGACTTCATTTATTTTCTATTCTTAGATATTAAGGGCCCATTTTGATAAGAATTTTCAAAAAATATTTGATATTAAAAAAAAAAATTTGTATATTTTGAATCATTTTTTGTAAGTATTTCCTGAGAGAACTTTCAAAACAAGTTAGTTTAAGGTGAATTCTCAATAAACTATTCTAAAAGAAGCAGAAGTAAAAAACAGAAGCCGACAAATAGACCCTAACAGGGTTAGAAAATTTATAGTCATTCTTCCTCACGATATGCTTATATACTGTAACCGAAGACATCAATCATACGTTCAAGATATTAACAGCTTTTTCAAGTTATTATTACATCACAACTACTAATGTCCATTACAAAAACTAGAATAAGTCAGCCAAAAATTAAACGAGGTCCTAAGAACAATAGGTGTAAAAGGTTTATTAGCGTCATTGATAGGTAAGCATGAAAATGTAAATAAATTAAGCAAACTCATTACTACTTTGACATTTTAATTTTCTTAATATAATTAAATTATCATCTTAATTACGTCATTATGGGAGTGGTTGAACAACAAGTGCACGTTCTACAACAAAGAAATCTTTTGTCCTCTTCCAATCACAATAATTTCAATTTTTAAGACAAGTTTTATCCCAAGCACAAGAAGGATAAATTTTCAACTTTTCTAGCAAAAGTACTGCCATTTGGCATAAATTTTGAGAATTCAAAAATTATTTTTGAGATTAAGAAGATATGTTTTAACGTATTTGAATAATTGTCTAGCTAAAAGAGATTTTAAAGAGGGATTTTTCCATTTATACAGGAAATGGTTGACACCCTCTCACATGCTCTGGGCCCCGCGTGAATATAAATTTCCCAAAAAAAACAAAAAAGGCCCCCCCATTGTGAGTGTTCCATCAACCTCTTCTGTCAACCATTTTCGTACAAATAACTAGGGATGGCAACGGTTCGATTCGGGGTCGGTTCGACCAAAACCATAACCGCACCACCAATTTTTTGGCCATACCATAACCACACCATAACCACGAAAGTCGGTTCGGTTCGGTTCGTATCTCGGTTCGGTTAATAACGACGAAAATAAATTATTTTTTATAGGTCCAATCGTCAACTTGGAAAAAAAAATTTACGAAAAAAAGTCAATGAAAGTTAATAGTACTGGTACTAGATATAAAATTATATATAGAGTCAATTTTTGTTTTTTATTTTAGATACATACGGCACATGATCAAGTGAACTACACACATCTAATACAGTAAAGATGAAAATGGTAATATGCTTATCCTTGACTCGTGAACTAAAACTATTCGTGCAAGCAAAATGCAAGAAAAATCAAAATACTAAAAAAGGCAATTATAATGTCAAAGTTGCAATAATTAATATATAGTGACATCTTATTTCAAAGTTAATACCTGATATATGAACTTTTCTCTTTTAATTACGTGTAGGGTACATTGATATTGAATTGGGCTACTGGAGCCTGGGTTATTGGGTTAAAGTTTAGTTAATATTAATTGGACCAAAATTTTGGGAAGCCAAAAAAAAAATTGCCCAATTAATTTTGAGAAATAAAAATGGAAAGCCCAATTGTCCAATTTTTT